GCATGAAGCGAGGTCCATCGCTGTAGACCTTTTTTACCCACGTGACTGGATTCTGCTAAATGTAGACAATACCACCACGTGTGGACCGCCTTGGCCCCGGTGGTCGCATAATACCTACGGCAGCTCCAACCACGTGCAAGCGCACGTGCGAACGCTTCGTGCTTGACTAGTGTATCTTGAATAGGTCATTACCATCACAACACTATGCATCATTAACGTCACAACACATTATACACGCAGGTCCAGCACGATCGTGTCAACGCTGGAAAAGTCTCTATTCCTACGGGCAGCTTCAACCACGTACAAGCACACGTCTGGACGCTGTGTTCTTAACTAATTTATCTTGAATAATTAGATTACCATCACAACACTATGCACCATTACCACCACAACACATAGAGGTCCGGCACGATTGTGACATCTCTAAGGCTTTTTGACCATGTGGATCACACATTGTTGCTTTAAAAAGATCATCGATACGGGAGTTCAAAAACCAAACCGAAACCAAGTCATTTTTAGTGCGCTGTATGTTGTGTCAGCTGTGTAAACACCCTCATGTGAAGAAAGACCGTGGTTGGATATTCTGTTCAATTACATTTATGTCTTCCTCATGGCAAAATATAAGCATTAATGTATGAAATAATGGGCCAATTGAGGTGGCAAAACGTTGAAAGCAAAGCTTGTGTTAGGTATGCCATTGCAAGAAACAAACAAAACATTACAAAAGAAACAAACTACTGTACAAACATGGAAAACATTACACATGTACAAAATGAGCGTCAAATAAAACAATGAATGACAGGGCTACATATACTTGATCCAACAACAGACTAGGACCCTAGAGACTAGAACGCAGAAATGTGTTACATTAGATAAAATTTAAGTTTCTGTTAAATAACCTGTGTAAGTTAAAAATTTGAGAGAAATTGGTAATTTGGCAATCTATTCCATAGTTAAGGAGTGGAATATTTGATATTGTATTGAAAAGTAGATATATGGAAAAATTATTTACTGAGCATTCATTGCTTCAAGCTGAGTGTATGATGCTCAAAAGCACAGGTCTGCATCGAAAGAAACAAACTTACACCTTCAATTTTATCAAGTTGGCATTACAGAGAAGAAGACATAGAAAAATATTCACTCCTATAAACACTCTTTACACTAAGGACATGCATGTCCAAAGTAGTGACTTGTGATCAACTGGACATTGACACTGTCTTTGCCTCCGAAGTACATGTACATGTACATGTACCTGGGTTCTGCAGTAATGTCTTGCATGTTGGCCTTGTTCGAGTCCATTTGGCGAAATGCATTCCGCTGTTTCACAATCACCTCTTCCCTCCCGTTGCCTGTGACACAATGTAAGCAGTAGTGATTCTGACTAGCAGAAATTCAGGATCCAAGCTGTGTGAAGTCTTCCTGAAGGCTAAAAGTGTGCTTACACATCCGTACACAAAGTAAACGTGTCAGGTGGACTGCAGCGTTGTTTTCGGAATAGTACTCGCACTATAAAAGCGGCCAATTCTATGGTGTTCCATATATGCCAGTCGCATTTTTCGACGGGCGTCGCATTTTTCAACGTGCGTCGCATTTTTCAACGGGCGTCGCATTTTTGCGACTGGCGTCGCATTTTTCAACGGGCGTCG